CATTTTCCCCTCCCTCCCCTTCCCCCCTCCTTCATGAACCCTTCATAATTCATAAATTATTATTGTTTTGTCATAAGTTACACTGTCTGACGTCTTCCCCCGCCCTCTTCTCTGCTGTCCATCCCCGAAGGAAGAGGCTATACGTAGATTCTTGTAATTGGTTCCCCCTTTCTACCCCACATTCCCTCCACTCTCCAGGCATCACTACTCTCACCACTGGTCTTGAAGGAGTCATCTGTCCTGGATTCCCTGTGTTTCCAATTGTTATCTGTACCAATGTACATCCTCTGGTCTAGACAGATTTGTAAGGTAGAATTGGGATCATGATAGTGGGGGTGAGGAAGCATTTAAGAACTAGAAGAAAGTTATATGTTTCATTGTTGCTACCCTGCACCCTAATTGGCTCATCTCCCCACAACCCTTCAGTAAGGGGGTGTCCAGTTGCCTACCGATTGGCTTTGAGTCTCCACTCTGCATTCACCCACCTTTACCCAAATGTTTTTTTAAAATAATTTTTAAACGATTTTATTGGGGCCTCTTACAGCTCTGATAACAGTCCATACATCAATTATATCAAGAATGTATGTACATAGGTTGCCATCATCATTTTCTAAACATTTACTTTTTATTTGAGCTCATCTTTTTTCCCTCCCTCCCCTCTCCCACCCTAACACCCCTTGATAAATTGTAAATTATTATTGTTTTCAGATCTTATACCGACCTCTGTCTCCCTTCACCTACATTTTTGTAGTTCATCCCCTGGGGGGTGGAATATGTATGCATTGATCATTATGACTGGTTCCCCATTCCTCCCCTCCTACCCCCATTTTCCCCCTACCCTCCTGGTATCACTACTTCCATTTCTGTTCCTGAGGGGTTTATCTGACCTGATTTCTGTGTGCCATGAGGTTTATCCGCACCAGTGTGCATGCTCCAATCTAGCCAGAACTGAAAGGCAGGACTGGGATCATGATAGTGGAGGGTGAGGAAGCCTCAAAGAACTAGAGGAATATTGTGTGTTTCATTGGTGCTCTACTGCACCCTGGTTGATTCATCCTTTCCTTGTGACCCTTCTGTGAGGGGATATACTATTGTTTGTCTACAGATGGGTTTTGGGTCTCTGCTCAACAATGCTTTTTTTTTGTTTGTTTGCTGTTGTTGTTTTGGGTATTCTGGTGCCTGTTACCTGATTCTGTCAACACCTCATGATCGCACAGGCTGGTGTGATTCTTCCATGTGGGCCTGTTGTTTCTCTGCTTCTCTGCTAGATGACCACTTGTTTAACTTCAAGCCATTAAGACCCTGGATGCCATATCTTTTGATAGCCGGGAACCAGCAGCTTTCTTCACCACATTTGATTATGTACCCAACCCCAAATGCTTCTTAACAGGTGAAATTAAGTTACTTACTAAGAAATTTTTTTTTGAAGAGGCCTGGTGGTGTAGTGGGTTACACATTAGGCTTCTAACCACAAGGTTAGCAATTTGAACCCAGCAGACGTGCTAAGGAAGAAAGATGGGGCTTTCTACTCCTGTAAAGATTTTACAGCATAAGAAGACCACAGGGGCTGTTCTATTCTATCCTATGAGGTCACTAGGAGTCAGAATGAACTTGATGGCAGTGAGCTTTTTTTTAAATGTGTTTGTACTGAGAGTGTGGGGGAGTCTTCCCAGGTAGATGCACCTCAAATCTCCTACAATTTGAGTGAAAATCTACCTCCTTCCCACACTCCCTACTTCCCTTCTATAAAAAGCACTCTATATGCATGCATTTCATTCTTAGAAAAATTAAATCCTCACTTCTAAACCCACTGCTGGCAAATTGATTCTGACTCAGCCACCCCATTGGACAGAGGAGAACTGCTGCATTGGGTTTCTGAGGCTTATGGAATCAGATGGCTCCATTTTACTCTTTTGAAGTGCCTGGTGAGTTTGGACCTCAAACGTTTGCATTAGCAGCTCAGCACTTAGGTTACTTTACCACTAGGCCTCCTTAATCTTTGCTTAACCCTCTGCCATTGAGTTCATTCCAATTCATAGCAACCTACCTTCTTTAGGATTTGCAGACTGTAAATATTTCCAGGAGAAGATAGTTTTTATCTATCTCTTGCAGAGCTGCTGGTGATTCTGAACCACTGATCTTGCAGTTAGTCCTAGCTCACAGCACCAACAGGGCAACCCGAACCATGTGGGCTTTGTTGTTTCCCTGCTAGATGGATGCTTGTTTCACTTCAAGCCTTTGCTTAACTCTCCTCTTTGGCATCGAAATAACTGTTTTGTATCTTTTGATACCTGATATCCAATCCAGTTGACACCTCATGTTCACACAGGCTGGTGTGCTTCTTCCATGTGGGCTTATTTGCTTCCCTGCTAGAAGGCTGCTGGTTTAACTTCAAGCCTTTAAGACCCCAGACACTATATCTTTTGATAGCTAGGCACCATATGCTCTCTTCACCACATTTGGTTATGCACCCATTTTGTCTTCAGCGATCTTGTCGGGAAGGTGAGCATCACAGAATGCCAGGTGATTAGAACAAAGTGTTCTTGTGTTAGGGGAGGCCCAAAGTCCGTCTGCTGTCTTAATATTTAACATGTAAATATATGTACATTGGCCTCTATTCCTTTCATTATAATGATCCTATATAGTGTTTCCTACATTCCATAACTATTTAGAGGGCATACTGCCTCATCTTTCTTGCTCTTTCTCCTGCAGTGGCTGGGTATGGGTGGCGGGGCGAAGGGGGGGGGGGATTGAATGCTTAACTAGCAGCACCCCAGGACTCTTTAATCCTTGCTTAAAGTTGGTGAAATGATCATTAAAAGAACCTAATTAAAATGCCCTTTCAATAGAGCGGGCTCTGCTTCTCCCAGGCCAGAGCAACGATTACCAGGCAAGGAGTTTCTCAACATCTGATGCTTCATATGAAATGCACCGTTTATGCATTGTATTCAATTGCTTAGAGACAGTAGCCTAGGATACCTTTTATTCTTTCTTCCTGTAGAGAATTCTCTCTAGTTTTCCATGTTCTCAAAGTAACTGCTAAATTCAGTTTCCCATTCTGTTTGAAAGACTTTGGTCTCAACTCTTGAGACATGCCAAGAGGGTCCCGGTGCCTGCTCACCACCCTCGCTGCCTCATCTGACCTCCCATCCAACTTAACATAAAATTAATGGAACCATAAAGGACTTCCCTTGTCAAGGCATCAAGTCCCCAAGTGACACAAGCAATCAAAACATTGGTTGCTGAACACGCCATCCACCCCACCCCCCCAAGCAAACCAAAAGCCCCAAACCAAACTAACTGCCATTGAGTCAATGCAGGTTCATAGAGACCCTATAAGATAGATTAGAATGGCCCTGTGAGTTTCCGAGCTTGTAACTCATTCCAGGAGTAGAAAACCCACCCCACCCCACAGAAGCACTGTAGAAATAAGGTCTGGCCATCTTCTTTCATTAAGATCACAACTAAGAAAGTCCCATGGAGAAGTTCTATTGTGCAACACATGAAGCTCCTGAGAGACAGAATCAATTTGATGATAATAGCTTTTCACAGCATTTACACTTGACTGCTCTCACCTCCACAGCTCTTTACGCCTTCTTTTGACTTGTCCTTTAAAGTCCTAGGATTTATATCACCCTTCTCATTACATGAAGGGGCTTCAAAAAGTTCATGGGAAAAATACTGTTCCATTCTCCGTGAACCGTTTGAAGCCCCCTCATATGACAGCTGCTCCCAGAGGTTAGGTCCTGTGTCTCCCACCCTTTCCAGCACTATCTTGCTAAGAACATGTATCTGATTAATATTTGAAAACTAATAGAACCAATGAACAAGATGTACAATTTATTAAGATGTATTTTCTACATTCTTGAACATGCATATTCGTGTAGAACTTTTAATTTTACAGAACAATTGAAGTGATAGTGATACCAGGGATTTATCGTCTATTACTTTATGTTCCTTTATATATTGATGCCAACTATTTTACTGCTGAATTCTTTCACATTTCCAAGGAAATGCACTTTCCAGTGCAAATGCTAGAATATGAAGGCACCTTTCCTAATTTGTTTTACAAAAGATTAAAACCCTTACTTCCAAAGACTCACATGAAACACCAAATAAGTGACCACTCTCACTGAAACCTAGAAGCCAAAGCTAACTAGACTTTCATTCAAAGGAACAGCATTGTCAAGATTGATATATTTACATTCGAAAGGGAACACAAAAGTGATCAACACCGTGGCCTCCAACACCCACACCCACACCATTTAGAATGTTAACTGTGGGGGGAGGTCAGGTATGCAGGCACTTCCCCCCCTGAGGGCGATCAGTTGCCAGGCTGCACTAGCTCTACTTCCTGCTGCTAGAGACAATGGGTTACCTCTCTCTGGAGCCCAAGGCCATTAGCTTGGTTCCTGTAGGAGGGGTTTGCACCCTACTGATAATGTTCCTATGGAGACCCAGAGACCACCCCCTAGAC